CATATAATTTTGCAAACTTGCTTGTGTACTAAATAAAAACACTTATATTAATGGAAGATTTGACTTGTGCGTCATTATTTGTCGTTTTTTTATATTTCATCTTGTAGTAACACATGCATATTTTACGTAATTGGCTGGGATGTAAGAAATATATGCTCACATTCAATTCAGTTTCATCATCTGTAGCTAGAAGCGGCGTAATAATACCTTTCTCATTCCATTCTGTAAGTTACTCTAACATTTTTGAAGTACATATAATTTTTCGTATATCATAATCAATTATGAGCATCAGATCTCATTTTGATCTTCTTATACTAATATTTCATTTTTACAAAGTTAATTTTACTTTATACTTCAGTATAAGATATAAACTTAATTTAGAATTTCCTCTTTTAGTCTAAGATGAATAATATCTATCCTAATGAATAGTAATATTTGTACTGACAATATTATTATATAAATGACATTGAGAACCATTTGAAACTCCGAATTATCAACTGTAAATTAATTGGGTGCTCGTAGCATGATTAATTTATTAATTAAAGAATTTATATATTTGCCAAAGGTTGACGTCTGTTTGAGATTCCGTTACAGTTTTTGGAACCTGACTAGTGACTCATCATGGACAGATCATTTAATTAACGTTGATCGTTGAATATGTATAACTTGTTGAAAATGACTTCAAAGAGAGTGGAAAGTTCAAGGTTTCGTAAATAAAGCTGCGCATCATCTATGATTTTTTATATAAATTAATACTTATGCGCACCTATTTCCGCGCTGTCTCTCATTAGCCTTAATCTTATTGTTATTTATTATTTTAAATGATATATGTTACAAATTATTTCTTTTAATAGATGAGAACTTTGTATCAAAGAAAGATCTAACTCCCATATATTAAAGAAAATTAGGACGAAGTGAAAGATAACAATGGTGTAACAAAGCAAAAATGTTCTACTCACTGATTCAGACTTTTCTTGTTTTGTATCATCTCTCTGTGGCATTCCGTTAACTAGAGCTATAGAAATGATAAGTAGGCAGTTAGCTACCACACCAAACGACATCTTTGGGTTTACTGTCGGAGGACTGAGATCGTACGCAGGTAGACAGTGATTTCTCAGACTCACCGGTAGATATTTCTTAGTCACTTGCCACTGGAAGGGATAACTCGATGAGATCCGTATTCGTTCGGTGAACTGCGAATTCACATGCAGTATAATATAAAAATGATACATAGTTCAGATAATTTATCTCGTAAACGTTTAAGATGACTAATTTAATGTAAATGTTTAAGATGAATAATTTAATGAGTTTTTTTTTGTAAAAGTGAATAATAAATGCAAATTTGGAAGAAAAACTTGTTTAAACAAAAGCATTTAGAATAAAAGATTTTATTTTAAAAATAGTTTTATTTTAGAATGTTTTTTTTCAATCATTTTGTCTTAAAACTTTTATTCGTCATTTATATTCAAGAATATTTGTTAGTACATTTTATTTTTATATTTAAAAAATTTGTTTTATCTTTCTTTGCAGACATATGTATGGTGTCAGAAATCAGAATTGCTATTTTACACAGAATTTGAGCGAACGTTTAATTTATTAAATCATATTAAAATAAAAACTGTTAATTTTGATAATTCTTACAAACATTACAACTTTATTCTACTGTAATTAATATTAATAATATATTAATAAAATAGCAGAAATAAAGTTTTAATCAATTTAACATAAAACTTTGTTGGATGGAATTCTTGATTGGAAGAAACTAACTTAATTTTATAATTTATGATTAAAATTTATAATGTTTAATGATAAACACACAGAAATTTTCTCTTTATTAATAAAATAATTGATTAAAATATCTTTAAAAAGTATTTTATAATGATAGGCATTAATTTTCTGATTAAATATTTATTTTGAAATGTTTAAGTATCAATTGTTTGAGTGATATTTGAGTGGGTTTGAGTCATAAATTAAAATCTTTAATTGTTTTTACTAATAATTTGGATATTAAATTTTTATATAAAATGAATATTTAAAAGTACTACAATGAATTGCATTTAACAATAACATAATTTTATATTTTCTACATTATACTTAATGTTATACTATTGTTAAAATAATTAAAATTTATTCAAGTAAACTGCTACATTTTTAGAAACATGAAATTTATATATTATATGAAAAAGACTTTAAAAAGACAAAGAATAAAATAAATGTGGAAAAAACTATTCACGTTCTTAATCTGATATTCATGAATACGTGTGACATACAAGTCTTGCATTACGATGCAAAAAAAATAAAGTGAGTGCTCGAAGGTCAAGGATTGATTTTACATATTGCGTATATATATATGTATATTCCATACTACGTCGTGTTATATCAATTAGGATTTCTAATGAGACATTGTTTTGTCACGACAGTAAACAAAATTAAATTTGAGATTGCGTTAGTATCTATACGTCGAATACATCACGTTATGTATACATATCATCCAAGTTTATTCATAAATTCTCGAAAAAATTCTTGTAATCGCAATTAGTAGAATTATAATAGCGTTTTTTGCTTATTTTTGCTGCATTCATATGAAAATTGTCATTCGATAAAGTTAAAGAAGATAAGCTTTTACACATTTGTAATATTATATATGAATCATTACTTATAATTCTTTGAAATAAATTATTGAAAATCAGGATTGGGAATTAACGCGTTATTTGTAGCGTTCTATAAGTTCATATGTAACTTTTTGTGATAATGATTATTGCTTTTTTCTACGTATATTAATAATAGTATATTAATAATAGTTGTTACACTTTTATAATAATAATGGATTCAGAGCTGTTACTTTAGTTCTTTATCTTTATAACTGTTCAATGGAATCGCGTTGTTTCTATTTGATAGAAATATTCTATTTAAATAAAAATTCAAATATTAAAAAATATATTTTATATTTTATATAGTTTATATCTTAGGCTGCATATTGAAGTAGTCACTACTATTAATAGAAAGTCTGTCATATATGTATGTATATGATATATATGTAAGATAAACTAGATTTTTATTCACTTGCAGTGAATATTAGAATGCACTTTTAATGATTAATTTTTGATAAAATGTGTTTTTGTGAATTACAAAATTTAACTTTTTGAAGCATGGTATATTATATTTTTCACATATTTTATAATTACAAAATTGTTTCTTTCATTTCAATTTTTTTGCAACTTTACTTACCTAGTAGGTACATTTTGAATTGCTGAATCCGAATCTGAAGTAAAAATTATAATATTCACAACAATTTATTCAATATAGCAAGTACTTAAAGTACGAAAAATTTTTGTTTTATGTAAAATAATAATACTAATACTAATACATTAATATAAAAAATTTCACACAGGATATATTAAAACTTGATATTAAGGAATTCTTGGGATTGCGAATACGAAGTCAAAATTTACAAGTTTTTAAATATAATGACTGACCAAAATTATAAAGTCATTAATTTTACACTAAATTTGATTTTCGGCGTATTTTTGTATAATTTTATGCAAAGTAAAAATGTAAAGATTTTAAATAGCTGATTTAATAGGCAGAATAACAGTAAGAAATAGATCGATTTTATGAAAGTCGATACTAGTTTTTGGAATTACCGATTTAAATCTGGAGTCAAAAATTCAATTCAAAATCAGAACTGTTGCTTTTGTTTTATACAAATTAATCAATTTTTTAGCATATATTGAATCTGCCATATTAGATCTATTATTTTTAGTTTTCTATTTTTATTTTATATTAGTTATCACCGATCCTGAAAACAATCGAATGTCTAATTTTAAGTAACTAGATCAATTTTTGTATCTTTATATTATGTTGACTTTGTCACTCTGAATTAAAAAATTTTGTTAATCTCTCTCTAACTTTTATATTCGTAATAAACAACTTCAAAAATCCCTTATATATCATTTTAAAGAATTACTGTATGAAAGAAAAAATGTTTCTATTGTTTATAAAAAAAAATAAAGAAATATTTCAAAGTGTTAATTTAGGATGCATTCTGTCTTTCCGATTACATGCTGTAAGCATCAATTCAGCCTTGTTGTCTATCAAATATTGAACAAGGACAAACGATGATACTCACAAATGATATAAACACAATACGGAACGTATTCTCCATAAAAAAAGTTTATTATATAGATAGTATAATTTAGAGTTTTAATATTAATTATTAAATAATGTAATATTAAAATTTATTATCTCACTTAAACTTACAAAATATAATAAATTGTTTTATCTAATAAGTAACAGTAACGCGGTATTTTTATAAAGTAACGTTTCAATCCTTCAAATAATCATTTGTGTTGTACAATATATGTCATTCCTTATATCAATTTCTACTTGGAAAAATAAATGAAAATCTATTTTTTTATCATAAGGCATACTAAATATCATC